ACCATATGTTTACCATGGTATAAACATGGTACTACGAATCAATAAGTATGACAGCACCGCGGTATTTATATTAGCACACGGATATTTCCCGCGAACACACGTTTACGATATAATAATAACATGCAAGCATCAATAAACACAAACAGCAGCTCATGAGATCTTTGCGCACTGGCCGTCAGCATCTCGTTTAAATATATGTCGTGGCATCCCGACTGCTGTAAATAAGCGATGTGTTCATGCGCATATGTGTTTGTTTTGTACCTGTACTGCGGGCCGGCAGCGGCAGCTGCATGTGTGAATCCATAATAATTACTGGCCGCCATCATAGAAACTTCAGCAGCAGTAACGGCGGCGGCGTCTCCGGCGATCACGTGACCGACGCGTGTCCGTAACGTCAACGGTCACCTTCGCGCCGCTGCCCCCCGCGGAGCCTCAAAATAAAACCGTTATGATGTAAAGATTCGTTTATATTATACAATTATGTATATTATACACCTATAAATAGTTAACATATGTTTCTATCAGTGGCGTAGGCTACGGTGGTGCTCTGAAATTATGAGAAATACGTTAACTTTAGTGAGTTTTTGATTATTTTTTGATTTATACAAAAACAGAATAAACATCAGGTTTCGCTCTATATTATATTTGTAAACGATGATCAGCTATAACTTTTATTTATCACTTTCTTTTCGTAACTTTACACGTCAAATGCTCTGTAGGTGTCGGGTACGATCTGAAAACATTACAGTTTACTAAAAACCGCCTCAAAAGACCTTTAGTTCAGGTGATTTCAGGTTTAATTTGGACGTGACAAAAAGCCGCGACATTTGAGTGGGTGAGTTTTGATTTAAACTAGGTACTTTTAAAAAATTTCCACCAGTTTGATTCAATCAGACCGATATTCGTAAGAATGGAAGGCAGGATTTATTGCGTGGCGCGATTATCCGCTTATTATTGTTCTAAGTATATTAAAGGCAGGGTATGTGATTTTTCAAAAACACTTTAGAAAACTGATTCGGGCCGAATAGCAAAACAAACTTGTAGCCAATCAGCAATAAGGGGCGTGTCTACTCGTGATGTGGAGGAGAGCGCGTTCAGTGCATGGGACGGACATTAGCCATCGGATGCCCATTTTCCACAAGTTGATATGATTCTTTGGGGTCTTAATGAAAAGTCTGTAACATGGTTAAAATTTCTCAATTAAAAAAAACACCTTTTTTACCCTGTCAAAAAGAGCTCTTTTCAGATCAAGCCGTTTTTGTAGCATTTTCCTTTAAATGTTAATGAGCTCTGCTGACCCCGCCCCTCTCTTCCGAGCTGCTCTAAGAGAGACTGTTTACTTTAGCCGCATTCATCGTGAAACTTGCTAATTAGCACATTATTAGGAAAGGCGATTTGCAAAGATTCATTACAAAACATTATACTCACTTCCTCTGTAGATGAGGCTGGATCATGAATAATTTGCGCAAACATAAGACGCATTTAGGCAGATCGGGGGAGCATTCCCTTCAGAAACAAATGTAATCCACGAGTGTCCAATGCGAGTTCAGCAGCTGAGATGTCAGGAGTAAATGACGACTGCTATGTTCATTATCACATCCAACAACAGAACACCTCAATCGCTTAGGAGTCATTCTTGTCTACATCTGCTCCAGCGGTGAAACAATGGCAGACTGATGACAGCTCACTCAGGGCGGAGCTAAGGTAAGACGCCAGTCCAGTCTGTGCTGAAACGCTACTGTCAATCAAACTATCGTGGGAGGGGCCTGTCTGTGTGACGTCACACAGACAAGCCCCTCCCACGATAGTTTGATTGACAGCAGCGTTTCAGCACAGACTGGACTGGTGTCTTACCTCAGACCCGCCCTGAGTGAGCTGTCATCAGTCCGCCATTGTTTCACCGC